TTTGCAAAACTCTGTACCTGGGCTGTCATCCACAGTGGGATTGCTTCAGTGGCTTCTTCACAGATGCTGGGGGGAATCTTCCCCCCGCCCCCCCATCTTTTGGCTCAGTATTAGCAGGTCATCCCGGAATTGCTACTGAGTTCTTTTCTTTAAATAAAGCCATTTTCCTATTCTCTGCAGACTTGCAGACTGAGTTCTTCCACCACACACGTGCTGGGTTTCTTGTCTGTTTTGTGGAATGTGTTTTTCCAATGAAGAGGAAGATGGAACTGATTTAAAATTCTTTGCTAGTTAGCAAGAAAACTCTGGATCTCAGGAGGGAAGGAGAACCACCCACTCATTTGGGGCAGTTCTGCAGAAGGGGAACTGAAAACAGATATTTTGGTCTGGTGTTCAAGAATGATCTCATTTGTACCACTTGCCTCCTAGGGATTGCTTTGGTTATGGAAGATGAAGAGGGCTACATGACCATACAAACTTCAAAACAGTATACCTACATGGACGTTGTTCCCAACAAGAAGGAAGGTAATGATTGAAAAGAAGTTTCTCTTGGCTTTAGCTGGCTATTTAAAGATAAAGTTGGTTGTTGATGTTAATAAAAGAGACCACCTGGGATGTACAGTTGCGGTAGTCTGTTTTATTCAAGTCCCCTTCTAGGTGTGTTGTGATCACAACTCCCATCTATGCGGGAATGTAGGCAGGGTAGAGTAGAGTTTGAACAAAATTATGGGAGACCCAAATTCATTACCATCTCACCCATTAAGCTTAGCTTATGCTAATTACTCCAGAATGACTAAACACATAATCAATATATGAAACAGGTGGATGATTGGACTTTCATGATAGGTTGCTATATAGTTGAATGGTTTGAGCTTATACTAGGTTATAATGGAGTGATGCCTCAATCACAATTCATAATCATGGCTGGTATGTCATCTGAACCCAGGTTAATGGCTTAGGAACAGTTAAGCTGCTGTTAGTCTTCCAGAAAAATGTGTCGAATGAAGTATAAAACATAGTTAATGGTTGAGTGTTTTGTATGAAGATGTGCTTAGCATGATTTATGAGCTCAGTTGAAATAGGATAAAATATCATTCACCTCTTCAGGCGGACCTAAAACTATGACGCTCCAAGTCCTTCCCAATCTGGTTTCCAGAATTGCCAAAAATCATTCCAGTCAAAGCTATTCTTAGCCAAATGAGAGGCAGTCATTTTCAAAGCCAGTGATCTCTTTCTAGGCTATGCTAGTCTGGGTTTTCCCACGTTACGTTCTGACAAGAAATATACTTTCCTTAACCCTGGTATAACAAATTAATACCATGTAGCCCTCTTCATATTACATGCAAAACCACAAGCCATAGTTTACAAATTACATTGGCTGGCAACAAGCCGCCACATGATTTCTTATTGTGCTGTGTGGTCTAGAAGGCGAGTCCCGTCCTATGATTGTTCTTCACCAAAACAAGAAGCACCATCCTATTTACTGGGTTCATAGATTGTGTGTTAAGCCATAAAGTGGCTTGTTTGATTTTACCTCAGAATATTCTTGGGGTTTCATCCCGAACATCCATTGTGGTTTGTAAACTGTGCTTTACACTTTAGTACAAGGGTACAGCATGTTTTTCAGCCTCTCCATTTGGGTTGCACTCCCAAAATGGTCAGCAGCCACTTTCTGTATATTTTTGATTATGTTACATGATTCCACTGTTTTTATTTTATGCATTTTATTGTCTTTGAGCTTCTTTGTAATAAGCAACATCCCCCATTACAGGGTGCAAGGCAAATTAGCTCTTTTGCTGATATTATAGTCCCCCTACTCATGAGAAAATACTATCGCAAGAAAAGGAAAAAAGTGGAAGAAAAATAAAAAAGAAAGAAAAAAGATACAAAGAATTGCCTTCTGATATGTTTTGCAGCAGTTAAAAGCACGATTCTATTTTAACCGCTTTTACTGTTATTGTAGTCCCCCGACTCATGAGAAGATACTATCGCAGTTTATCGGGGGAGTGGGGAGGGTGGCAGAACAGTGGGAAACTTTTCTAAAAATTGCAAACTTTCTAGCTGGTGAATAAGCAGCCCAAAGAGAGCAGAGGCAGACCACAATGGGGGTCATGAGCATCAGGTGGGGAAGGAAGAACTGGATGGGGGCAAAGGGATGGGCGGGCAAGACGGAGGCATCTGACAAAAGAAGGTCGGGCTGTTGGGCCACAAGGCCTGTGTCTTTTGGTTAAGAGGAGTTTGTGCCGAAATGGTGGTTTTCACACAAACAGCACGAGCCATGTCAAAAGATTGAGCAAACTGTTTTCATGCTGCATCCTCTCTTGCATAACTATCCAGGAAGAAGTATATAACATAAGGGAGACTTGAAAGTCTGCCGAACTTAAAACTATTTGGTCAAAATTCTTTCTTGGTTGACTAATCTGTTTTGCAGGCCTTCCAAAGTTTCCTTCCTCTGCAGGAGAAGCTTCTGCTTTTTTAAACGAATTCTCCAGGGGCTGAAGAATTCCTTTTCATTCTTTTTATTTACACATTGGAAGTTCACTGAAATTCTTATCTCCTTTGAAATGGCAAAAAGAAACTCCTTCTCATCAAATTGAATACCAAGTTGAAAAAATGGAGATTATTTTCCTCCCAAACAACACAAGTTTTGAATTTTTATATTTATTCTTAAGTGAGAATTATATTTTCACCTACTAGCTTAGCCACAATGTAATGTGTTGGGTTTGTGCCACAGGGGTGTAGATATAATGAAGACAGAGAAGACCATGACCTTCAGGCCCTCGGTCTTTAACAAAACAAAACAGTTGGGGTTGGCTGCAGTACTCTGTGTGTGCACCTATAGGGTGGCACAATGGGTAGAGGTGCCTGGCAGGCAGAAACCGTGTAGGTAAGTGCCAACTGCCAACACTGCCCCATAACTGATAGAGTATCTTTTCACCAATGCAGCCACTGTCACCAGGTGTCCCCCAACTCTTGACAGCTCTTTGGGGGCACAACCTGAAGGTATTTCCATAGATTGCAAAGGAAGGAGGCAAGAACCAATGTTACTAGGTTTTGGCTTAACATATTGGATAAAGCCAGCTGTTGGGGCATATACACCATGGTTTATGGCCTATTGTGAACTGTGGCTTTTATTCAACATACCATCTTTAAGCATATCATGGGTTAGGACAATGTGTGAACCTGGTCACTGGGAGTTTTTGCTGTTGTTTTCATTCTTTGTGGCTGAAGGTCCCTGATGAAATGTTAACTCCACAGGCCCTTCAAAATGCTGGAAAATCACACTCGGGGTCATACTAGGAGGAAGCATTGCTTTGAATGTGGGCCTAATCATTCTTCTGATAGGTAGGTATCAGCTGTCAGGGGTGGGGAGTGGGTTACTGAGTCGGAGTTCCACCGGGAAGATCAAAGTTCAAGTCTCCACTAAGCCCGGGAACCCAGCCATTCTCTTTCAGCCAAATCCCCTTCACAGAGTTGCTGTTGTGGGAATACAATCTGTGGAAACCCCATGTGGGCCACATTTAGCTCCAAGTCTATTCCTGCTCCTGCCCCTTATTCCATCAGTTCCTCAAAAAACAGCAGGTGGAGCTTTCACCATCAAGGAATCCATGTCAGGAAATGCTTTCTTGGGTTCATTCCTGAAAGTTAAGCGGATGCCATCAACAGCACTCCCCCACAGGGTATGGCTGTTTTGTCAAAACCCCAAAAACATGTTGCATGACTGTGCTTCAAGCTCCCCGCCTTTTACACATGCCAGCAATGACACAATGTTTGTACAAAGTGGACAGGATTTTGCCACAATGCTGCTTTTGAGAGTCTGCCCCCCATCCTGCCCCTGACACCACTGGCTGATTCCCACCAGGGAGCTTCGAGCTGTCCTGTTAACACCCTTCTTTTTAAAGGTTGCCATAGCCAGGAAGATTCTGTTTCCTTAAAAGTTTGGGGAAACCACTTGTTAGCCCATTGAGGTGGACCAGACTAGGAAACCAAAGTTTTGAATGCTAATACTACTTTTATTATAAGAGTACAATAACAAAATCTTGCAAGTCTGAATGTGCTTCTCCCCTCCCTTTATCTTCAAGAGAACTACGTAGGGTCCTATCTGAGATGCTTTTTCAAATTACATTTCTATCTTGGACTCGGATTTCTTTTATCTGATCATCTTTATCTGACTATTCAAATCAAATCTTTATTATGGTCAAAGACCAGCATATGGAGGGTGGGGTACAGATAAAAAGCATAGAAATTACATCAGTCTAAAAAATAATAATTATATAAAACAAAGTATATATCTAAAAGGAAGTAGTAGATGAGTGTAGGGAAGCATAAAGGGTAGTATGTGGAAGACTATATCTATCAAACTACAGAGCACTCTAGTATGAAACTAGATGCTCATTTAAACTAGTTTACAGCACAGGTCATCATCTGATGAATTTTAATCACTGCTGTGCAGAACCTGGCAACATTATAAGTTGTAGCCAGGTTGGTATCTGAAAGCAGCAGGGAAGTGTAGAATTGTCCTGTGTGCCCTGGATATTGATGCAATAATGGTGAGAGGAGGCTAATACGAATGTCTCTGCAATACAGGGACTGGAACAAAGCATGTACTTCTCCAGACATTCGTACTAGATTCCTTTTAGATATATACTTTCTGTTTTATGACTTTTAGCTTTTTATAGAAATTATTTTCTAAGACTCTGATGTATTTTCTGTACTTTTTAATCGACTGTACCCCACCCTCCTCATGCTGGCATTGGACCATAATAAAGATTTGATTTGATTATCTGACCATTTTCTTAGGACATTTTGCCCACTGTTTGAAAACTACCAAGACTGGGCTGCAGAATTTTTTACTACTTTGCTTATCTTTGTTGGCATCAACTTCTGATTTATAACATCCTTTTTTTAGGGTTGTTAGAATTCTTGGTGGGGCAGATCTTGTAATCTTGCAAACCAAACTTATATTTTGTATTTGCATTTTATATGTGAATGATTTGTGATCTACTTCTGAACTGAAATAAAGGTTGTATGCATGTCTCTTCCATCGTATAACCTGAGCTTTTAAAAAAGTATTTCAGACACAAGGCGCTTTCTACCCATCAACTTCAACCAGTTCATGTGGATTGATCCCCGGTACTTTAATAGGTAATTCAAAATTATTTATTTTGCTTTCTTTGTTTAGCTTTTTCAAGTCAGGATTTACAATATTGATAGCCAAAGCAGCTTGTACAGTTCAAGCTAACTGATGCAGAACACAAAGAGCTGATGCGGTTCTCTGCAAATGTCCTTGGAAAGGCAACCACAGCAACTTACCCTGCACAGTAGTAAAAAGAAGCTGTATTCACATGACACATTTGCACATGATTTACTCAACTATCCTAATTTTTTAGGTTCATAGAACACACTAACACAAATCCAAACAAGCATATTATGGCTTAATACAGAGCCTTTCTCAACTCTGAGATATCATGACACTGATTCCTGGGGAAAAGCGTCCATGTATGCCAAATGTCCCTTAAATCCAAAATTGCATCATTTGCATGAATTTGCATCATTTGTGGCAATTTATATCATTTACATCAATTACAGATGATGTACATTTTTTGCAAAGTGTGTAATTGGCTCCACCGTTTTGGAAATATTAAACTTTTTCAGGGATTGGGGAGTCTGTAAAAATGTTGTCTGTAGCATCCAGAGTCTGCTGAATGGAAGTCTGAAGAATTGAGATTGTACCGTGCACATTTGGAAAGGAAAAAAAATACAGAAGTCCTGCAGATAAATTCATCCTTTTGCTTTTCTCCTGTAGACTCCGT